TAAAGGAAGGGCTGCCGTATAACACTGCGTAAGGGCCCGAGACCGGGCGGCGGCGAGTGGACCCAAGAGGTGCCCGGCAGCCTTTTCTGCCGTGGGCCCAACGGAGCTGCATTTCGGTGCATCCCGGCAGTGAAAATGCAAACTCCCTTCAAGACGGGAAAAACCCTTATTAAAAGAAACAGGAAAAGCAGCAAACAGTGCTGATTCCTCCCGCCCCGGTTCCCTTTTATTGTCCGGCTGTCGTGGACAGACCTGCGTGCGTCCGGATTCTCGGGGCCCCCGTCCCCGGCTCAGCCCGCGCCCCCCTTCTGTGCGGCCAGCGCGGCCCGCAGCTCGCGCAGGTGCTCGGTGAGCACGTGCACCTCGTCGCCGCGGCCGCGCTGCCGGGCGTCGAAGATGAAGGCGCGGACGTTGTCGATCTGCTGCAGCAGCAGCTCCTCCTCGATGCGCTCCGCGCCGCCGCCGCCGCCCGGCTCGAAGGGGTTGGCGCCCGCGGGCTCCTCGAAGGGGTTTCCGGGCGCCGGCGGGCTCGGGGCGCTCTGCGGGCCGGGCCCGTCCTCCGGGTCGAAGGGGTTGGGCGCCGCGCTGCCGGCCTCGTCCTCGTCCTCGTCCTCGTCCTCCTCGAAGGGGTTGTACCCGCGCGGGGCCTCCTCTGCGAAGGGGTTCGGGGGCGGCCCCGCGTCCGGCCGGGACGCGCCGCTGCGGGGAAGGGACTCCGGGCCCGCGGGCCCCGCGCAGACGCCGCCGGGCTCTGGCGTCGCGGGAGCCGCGCCGCGCGGTCCCGCAGGGGGCGCGGCAGGGAGGACGGCAGGGGGGACGGCAGGGGGCGCCGCAGGGGCGCCCGGGTCCGGCTCCCGCGGGAACGGCCGCGCTTCCCGGAAGTCCAGGGACCGCGTCCGCGCGTGCAGGGCCGCCCGCCACTGCTCCCGCTCGCGCTCGCGCTCCCGCAGCACGCGCAGCTGCTGGCGCTGCAGGGCCTCGGCCTCGGCCTCCCGGCGCGACAGCTCCGCGGCGCGCTGCGTCTGCTGCTGCTCGTACGCGGCCTGCAGCTGCCGCAGGTTCTCCCGCAGCGTGCGCACCTCGTCGGCGCGGCCCGCGGCCCGGGCCTGCCGCGCGAACGACGCGATGTTGCGGATCTGCTGCAGCAGCGGGTCCGCGTCCTCGCCG